GCACTCCTCGCTCTGGCCAACCAGGCCGTGTGGTTTGTTCTCTCGCGTGAAGTCGTCTGGTCCTTCATTTTAACTCCGGCTCACAAAGCTGCTGTGGGCACCCACAGTCACTTATGATTGTGGAGTAATTAGAATTATGCTATTTACCTCATAACTGAGCCTCAGTTTAATTCAGGCAAGTACAGGAGTTGTTATAGTCACATGTTCCCTATTTTGTCCAATCCTACTGTGTATGTCCTAACACCAGAAAGTGGGTCGCCTGCCTAGAGTTCTCTATGTTAAACTGACATGTTTCTACAGCAGCCTAAAAAGGACAAACCAAAAACTGGCTCTAGATAAGGCCGTTTTTGGTGTGTTTTGTGGCCACCGTAGTTTCTTTGTCGCACTTGGAAAGGGAGGGTGAAGCGACAGAGAACTACACCGCCAGATGCCACTAAATCCTACAAAGAGGACCTTTACATTCCTTAGACTCTGTCAAGCTGGCAGACATTTGTTTCAAACCATCATTCAAGCACAACCACTCTGCCAAACTAAAATGCATATTATTGTTGCAATAAATGATGAAAACCGTGTCATGACTCAACAGTAATCTACCAGGAATGTGCTTATAGCCATATTTTATTTATTTGGTGCAATAAAGGATGATGTTGCATTTTGTTGTGGTAAAACTTGAAATTCCCCCCGTCGGTCTGACAGCAGCCTCACACTTTCAGCTGCAGTGTGAATTTGGCCTTTGATGTACTTTTCTGAAACCAATAACTCCATTGATTTCCCCTGTTTGCCTTTTTGTACCTCTCACAGTGCATCTGTCTGTTCTCTCTCCCCTCTGTCTGTCTTGAAGGTGAGTAGCCACTCAGAGCCTTCATCCCAGTCCCTGAGCCTGCAACAGCCCACCCAGCCGCCGCCACCTCCCCCACAGCCCCAGTACGGTCTGCCCGTCCCAGAGTCACGGGACAAGCAGCTCTGTTTCTCGGACTTTGAAGACCTCAGCGCTTCTTTCCGCAGTCTTTACAAGTGTGTCTTTGAGCAGTCGTTCTCGCAGCAAGGTGGGTGTCAACCCCTCATTTTGCACGTGGATTAGTGTTTATCTGTTCATGTGTGCCTGTCCAACATCTTAATTGACACGTGTTCACAGACAAAAAAGAATCTTGTAAGCTTCTATGTCAGGCTTCATGCCCATAATTAACTGTCAAGCTTAAGCTCGTAACGAAATGAAAATAATTTAACATTGCTTTCATAGCAGTCAACGCATTCCAGTATTAACCTCCACCACACACTACTCCTACTCTATTGTATTCTAATAAACAAAACAATCTGTTGTTCCGCATATCTGCATTTTACGGCTCGCTCAGTCAAATGAGTAAAGGCAATTAAGAGGAAGAATTCAACAGAAGGAGAAAAAAACCTTGCAAACACATCTGCAGTCGAGCAGAGCAAAGGGTTCTGCAGCTTTGATAGCAGCTAATTAGATTGGTTCTAAAGTTTGTGTAGCATCTTGCTAATTGCTTCCTGAAGCTTTCAGGTCACCAGGCCTCCTCCCTCTTGGACCCCCCACCATCCCAGCACCCTCCCATCACCTTCCCCTCGCTTTCTTCTGGCCGTACACAACCACATATACGTTCTGTAACCGAGGAGATCGATGTGCTCTGTTGAGCTCACCAAACTGCCACCTGCATTCACCCCCTGACAAGGTCCCCCCCTCAGTTTGTGGTCAGGGGTGCACGGGCAAAAAATAAAAGATAAGACAATGAGAATGCTAGCTGGGTGGGGAAAAAAAGATATGACACAGAGACCTAGAAGGAAAATGAAGAAGAAAATGGATTTAGCAGATCCTTGAAAGGGCCCCTTAAGTGTGAGGCTTAGCAGGAAACGGTGTCAGCAGTCATTGTATTCGAGAATTTGAGTCACAATGAGTCACCCAGACAGCGGAGCTCATCGTCTCCCTTGAAAAACCACAGTGAGTCCAAGACCACACACCAAACTGTAACTGACTCAGGTGGTGTCTCGTTCATTTTCTGACAGAACTTCATCCTCCCAACCTAAATTACAGGTTAAAACAATAGGCACACACAAATGATTGAAATCCTCAGTTGGAGCAACGTGCAAAGTCAAACATGAAAACTCATTTTACAATCCAGATTTAACCATTACCTACTTTACCTTAAAATCACACGGGCAGAAAGGCAGCAGGTGTGTTTCAATGCAATCCAGAACAACTTTATTTGTCCCTGTAAGATGCAACAGCTCTCACAACATCCATACAATAAACAAGGAAGGAAAAACACAACTAAGACAGATAAAAAAACACTTCAAGCAAATGGTGAATACATAAAACAATGGTTGTGATGCATTTTTCAGAAAGCAGTGAGCAGACACATGGCAGTGGGAATAAAAGAACTGGAATAAAAGATACTTTAACAAGCAGGTAAAGCGTAACGACTCCCTGCTGGCGGGAGTGGAAATTCACCCACTAGGTTGTGCTTAGATAAACCCAGTATGCTCATCGATTTCCTTATGATTTGTTGGTCACAAAAAGAACTCAAGTCCCTGTTTCACTCCACTGATCTTTGAAGAGATCTTAACAGTACTGTTCAGGCAGTTTCTGTCTTTCCGCGATAAGCAATAAAACAGCAGATAAAAAGAAAAGGTCAAAAGAGTCTCGAATAAAGAATAAATGTACTTGAGTTTCTGATGAAGGTGCACTCTCTGCTGGCCCTCTGACTGTATATCCATACATCCATTCTTAATTGATTGTTGATCGCTGTAGTAGACTAGAACTTACTACCAGAATCCTTGACATTAAACTTGCATTAAAAAAAAAAGTTAAATTGTTGTTGTACTGTGGTACAGAAGCAGGAAGCACAACCATGGTCCAACTTTCTACCTGAAGTAAAGACAACAATGCGTCATTGCTTGAAAATTTAACAAGGTAGCTGTCGGTATGCATGATGAAAAGAAAATAAGATGAAACACGCTCTTGGGGTGAACCTGTGCATTTAAAAACAGCCACTGACAATATCTATTCGTCACAAAATCTAAAATCCACAAGATGTGTGTGTGTGTGTGTGTGTGTGTGTGTGTTTGTGTTTTTGGAAACAGTACCACATTGAAGAAATTAGGACAATTTGACTAGAACTGAAACACAAACTAGTCTGTTTAGCACATGGTTTAATGTACGCCCAGTGATTATATTCTAGTTATTGTGTCAGTTTTCTGGTTAATGAAGGACATAGATGTAATTTTTTTTCTGCCTGAAGGTCAAAATGGAATCCACTTCTTCTGGTACTCCTCTACAGATCACTTGACTTTCTTGACTATCTCCTGTGAGGAAGTGTTTCTTTTTATTCTGAGCACTGTTCACTTACCCGTGGTCTGTATTTGTAAAAACCGCTAAAATAAGTGTCCACATAAAGTTATAATATAACTAATAATAAAAATAAATGAAATAAAACTGTCCTCTGTGCGTCTTGTGTGTCCTCAGAAGACTGCAGGGCGATGGGGATGGGCACAAGGAATATAATGTTATGATTTGATGCTCTGTGATTTATAAGCACAGAAAACTGAACCATAGAACACATCAATCTTAGTGCAAACTGGTTTTCAGCATTTTATTTAATTGATTAAATGGTTGTAGTGAACAAAATGGGACTTTTTATTCACACCAAGGGTGTGATTTTACCCCCCCGCCCTGTGAAATTTTGTGTTTTGTTTGGTTTTCTCCTCCGGCAGGTTTAATGGGTATGCCCGGTGATTCCAGCCAGCAGGCCCGGACGGCCTGCTCCTACCAGCACTCTCCTGGTGCAGGAAGCGGTGGCCACCACCACCAACACAACCACAGTCAAGTGTCGCACCACCCCCACCACCCTCAACAGCACCTCTCCCCTCACTCCACCCACAGCCAGCACCAGGCACACGGTCAGCATGGCCAGCACCAACAGCACCCTGCTCATTCCCAACAGCACCCATCTCTTTCCCACCAGAGTCACACCGGACAGACCTGCCCTACAACAGGTGAGAACACAGTTACAAGAATAATTTTTTCCAGTTTTCCAGTGAAAATTTCTGGCTTGGGTGACACCTACTGGTAGCATGCTGTACTAAGTAAGACACAGTGCTCCTGAATTAATCAGCTCAAAGCAACACATAGACTATGACAGTTCTCAGTGGGATTGTCTGCAGAGAAAAACTTAAATCACATTAACATCCTTCACATAAAGAATTTGCACTTGAAATGTTTTTTCAAGACATAAGAGACAAGTTATTTACCAAAACTCTATAGTTGTGTATGGCGGATGGCTACAAGAGCTTAAGTTATGCACATCATTCAAGCAGCAATAAATTACAATATGTGGAACTATTAATGGCTATAAAATCTCCCAATTTGGGAAAAAACTTTAGAAGTGTCAACAAACTAGTGCGAAAGTGGCTCCAAAGTTACTGTTACTGGCAGTTTAACTCAAATAAAATCCACTATTAACTCTAACACTGCCAATGTAGCTATTTAAAAGAGAGTATATAGTCTCCACAGCTTGTTAGCATCAGGTTTTTACTCGTTAATGAACTGCTACAGATATGTACCATAATAAATATATAAAATGTAGAGTACATTTCAGGTTACCTGGGCTACAGAGCTTATGCTCCCAAATCATACCAACAAGATATTTCCCTGTTTTTAGCACTCTGGTGCCATGGTCTGGATGCAGCATTAGGAAAAGACTCCACCAGAGCCTGACATCAGAGTAGCATGAATATTTCACCATGGCAGAATTGATCCAGAATGTGAAAGTGAATGGATTCAAACTACTAAATGTATAAACAGGGTCTCTTCAAAGTGTAATCTCCTCAACCTGCCATTAGCAGTTCAGGTACCTGAAAAGTGCTTTTCTGCTAACATGTTTTTGTACACAGTCATGTATTTTTCAGTACTTTACTATTAGTCAGCTCACACTCTTCATAAGAAAAATGTAGAAAACAAATTTCTCCACTCTGCTGCGTAGCTTTTAACTAATTCTAGTGAAAGGAACACACCAAGTGTAGCGTATTATTTCCAGTTTCCTATATACTCTATATTGATGCCATACAGCACCAAACAATGATTCTACTTGTCTTGACTCCCAAAGCCACATTGGTGTAAATACAATTCACCTAACACACCAAAATGGGCTTGTTTCCACACAGACTCACTGCATTTATATTATACTTTTTCCTCTGTAAGGTCCCAGAGCATTTGATATTGTGAGGCTGGGCTGATACAGACAGGCATCTCCAAAGCTTCACCAAGGCTTTTCTTGCTCGTATTCCCAGTCTTTGGGGTATTTTTTTCCCCCTTTGTGTCTCTGCATCACAGCTTTCAGGCCAAAAGAGAGACTATTCAGACATTATTTATCTAGGTTAGTATTCCCCTCAACCAAGCTGAGGATGAATGAAAGCAATCCCTCTGTCTTTGATCCACGGCCTCAGAATGTATTGTTGTTTAGTTTGTGGCGGTGAAGGTGGTGAAAAGCATCTCCTTTTTGTTTTTTTTTGGGGAAAGCAGAGCTGTAGCTGGAATTTTTCTGTGTGAAGTCACACCACCTTGTGGTTGACAGCAGAGACACATTTCCTCCTCTTTTTTAAATCTGGATCAGTTCACCTGTTTCAGATAATTAAATAACACGGCCCCACTGATCAGACTCATGCTGTTACCTGAGTATTTATGTTAGTGTTGAAACAATTAGTTAATGATAATTAATTTACAATTAAAGTAATTTATCAAACAAAATGTCAAATATTATCTGGTTCCAGTTTCTCACATATGTGAATTCTCTGCTTTTCTCTGTTTTATGTATTTGTTGATAGGGAATCTTTTTCACTGTTGGACAAAACAAACAATTTGAAGATGTTGGCCTCTGGGAAATTGTGATGTGCGTTATCCACAATTTCTATCGACCAAAAGACTGAACTATGAATCAAAAAAATAATCTACAGCCTAACTGTTAATGAAAATAATTATTAGTTTCAACCCTCATTTATTTTGCTTAATCTTTTATGCTGCCATTTTTCAACATTTTTAACGCTGTGTGCGTGTGTGTGTCCGTGTCCTAGGCATGTCATCAGACTGGTACCCCAACCTGGACTGGCTGAAGGAGAGCTGCCGCATTGCTACCAGCTACAATTGGGCTGACGTCGACCTCTCCCCATTTCAAGGTAACACACATACTGTATGCACACAC